CTGTAGTCTCCCTCCTCCCGAGGCACCCGAACCTTCTCACATCTCCCTGTCCAGGGATCTTCCACCCATATCAATTCCCAACCCCCTGGTATGGCATCTCATTCCCCTTTTATATCTCCAACTCCTGCCTCAACCAACGGTCTACCTCTCTCCTCCGTTCCCGCCTTTACCAACCCCATCTGAGTTGCTACTGACAGTTTTGTCATACCCCATTCTAGATCCCGGGTGTCCATTCCCTGTTGTATTTTCACGACGCTGGGAGTTGTTGCCTCTGTCTGTTTCTCTTGCTCTTTCTTAGAGGAGGATGACACTCCAGCGAGGGCTTCAATCCCCTCGCCTCTGGTCTTACAGCCTAATACCTAGGTTCTCAAAGTAACCTTAGGAATGTAACTGGTTTTCATTTCAATTCACAACTAGTTATGGTTGACACATTAGCACTGAAATAAAGGAGATATGCGGTGGGGAAAAGGAGAACATGAACAGAAGAGTATTCCTTCAGTATAATACATCCAAAAACATAGGTACAGTGGTGCCTCGCATAGCGAGGTTAATCCGTTCCGGATTAACCTTCGCTATAGCGAAACATCGCTAAACGGAAGAAAAAAAGCCATAGAAACGCACTGAACTTTGTTCAATGCGTTCCTATGGCTTGAAAACTCACCGTTAAACGCTGCTCCCTGTTGTATTTTCACGACACTGGGAGTTGTTGCCTCTGTCTGTTTCTCTTGCTCTTTCTTAGAGGAGGTTGACACTCCAGCGAGGGCTTCAATCCCCTCGCCTCTGGTCTTACAGCCTAATACCTAGGTTCTCAAAGTAACCTTAGGAATGTAACTGGTTTTCATTTCAATTCACAACTATTTATGGTTGACACATTAGCACTGAAATAAAGGAGATATGCGGTAGGAAAAGGAGAACATGAACAGAAGAGTATTCCTTCAATATAATACATCCAAAAACATAGGTATCTGCATCTAACAATGGAGGCGTCCTTGGTATGGAAGCCAACCCAAAACTGCCTACACCAAATGATTCATCTGGGATGCTCCTGATATGGGAAAAGATTATATACAAGTTCAAGATAAAATCTGTACTTCTTTACTTGCAAAACTAAATGTAACTTAAGTTTCCTATCCGTAATTTTAAACATGTGTTTTGGAAATGAAATTTACAGAATTTCATTTAGGAACGTTTGACCACTTGAATTCTGCATACCACATTGTTACAGACGCTGATTTCTATGTTTCTAAAAAAGATAGTACTTATAAACATTGCAAAATTGCCTATAACTTTTTAAAAATTAATTGTTTTATTATGACTTAAATGCAAGTGCACAAAATTTCAAGAGGGGGATACACAAATATCTCATGAACGCTGGAGAGGTGCATCCCTTCTACCTTCTTTAAAAATTGACTTTCCAATTCCCTCTGCACCCCATTTCACCAGGATTTTAGAGCCACCTCACTTGTTTAAGCCAAAGCAACGTTTTTTCAGAATAGTAAGGAACTGCAATTCAGTTTCAGGAATAAATACCCCAGGCATAAAACAGTTTCAAGGACAAAAAATTATCTGGCTAAATTGTCCCTATCCCCATAGATAATCTGAGGGCTTTTAAAATAAAACATAAAAATAAAAATATCTTTGAGTCTGGAGAAGTACATTGCTTCATATCTCCTCTTCCTTAGCAGAAGTCAAACACAAAAGGTCATCAGATAAGAATTTTCCCAATATTCCAAAACAGTAACAACTAACGACATACAATTATTATTAAGACACAGATAACGGCAGACCTGTTTACATGTTCTCATATAGAATATATGATAATACATTTTAAGCATGGTGGTAATTCTTCATGGTTTTAGCTCCCACAGATAATGGCCTCTGAAGAAGTGTTAATTAAACAAATGGGGTATTTAATTCTATCTAGACACTCTTATACAGTATTTCATTGTGTGGTTCTTAGACATCTGAAAAGCCAATGTGTCACTGGAACAGCGTAAGATCTTTACCTGACTTCACAGTGCCATTTTCTACATGAATCCCACACTATCAGATTAATCCCTTCCATTAAAGTTTAATGCAAACAATATATTCAAACTTCTACTAAAAACTTACCTCCATATCAAGTACCTCCACGGTGTTGTCCAAAAGCTTTATCTTAATCTGAAGAGACCTCTCATGTGTTTTGGTAGGTGTTGATTCAGTGGCAGAGGAAAGGCTCTGACCTGGTTCCAGAGTACTTACTCCACAATTCTTCTGGACTCCCAAACGAGAACCTGGAGTCTGCAATACTCTGTATGTGCCTTCTATCTCCCCCATTTTTCGCCACCAAGCAATAATGTAGTGACCTAACAGGAAAAGAGATACGTTAAAATGCTTTCAAATTATCAAATGAGGGGTTTTAATAGTTATATAATATACCTGTACAAAAGTGTGATGCAGGTACCCAGCTCTTTGAAATATTTCTGGTATGAATGAAGAACTCTTGCTATGTTTACTTAATGGCCAAATTTTAACTCCTCTCACCATTCTGCTGCTTGCAAATTTGTAATTCATTGGGCATAAAGAACACTGAAGAATTCAAAAGATGTCTGAAATTTATTTTCAGGATACAGTTCTGTGTGTCAAGTGTGAACACCAGCTAAATTTTACCGTATCTGTTTTCAAGAGTGCCAGAAAAGAAATAATGCACATGATCTTCCCTTCATGATGGGCCAAGTAATCAAAAGGGGGATGGGGTGGAAATTGAATGTGTGGCAGGTCCACTGTTTTACTCTAAGCCAGGGGTCCCCAACCCCTGGGACAGTACCAGTCTCTCGCCTTGGAAGGACTGGGCTGGTTTTACTCTAAGCCAGGGGTCCCCAACCCGTGACAGTACCAGTCTCTGGCCTTGGAAGGACTGGGCTGCTCGGACAGGTGAGCGGCGAGCAGGAGGTGAGTGGCGAGCAAAACTCCGCCTCCTGTCGGCATGGTCCTATTAGGTTCTAATGCTGCTGCTGACCTGACAGGAGGTGGAGCTTCACTCCCCACTCCCTTCTTGCCGCTGCTAGATCAGCTGTGCCCATGGCATTAGAATCTAATAGGAGCCTGCACTCTTATTAGGTTCTAAGCCACTGTTGATCTAACAGGAGACAGAGCTTCATTTGCAGCTCACCTCCTGCTCCTGCTTGCTGCTCATCTGTCCTGGCACAATAAATGTAACGAGATCGATTCAAAGCTCTCCTCCAACAACCTACTGCATAACAAGTGCCCCCCAGGTCCTTGGGAGAATGGTCTTCAACTAAACCGGTCCCTGGTATCAAAAAGGTTGGGGACCAGTGCTCTAAGCCAGTGGTTCTTAATCTTTTTGAAAGAAACGCCCCCTTGAGCCATTGAGGAAGTTATCATCGTCCCCCTCCCCACGGTGATGATATCTATCTATCTATCTATCTATCTATCTATCTATCTATCTATCTATCTATCTATCTATCTATCTATCTATCTATCTATCTATCTATCTATCTATCTATCTATCTATCTATCTAT